GGTCGTCATTCAGAGGCCGCAAAGCCCCAGTCCCATCTGCCCATGGGCTGTCGGGGGCTGCTGAGGGCAGAAAGCACAGAGCACTACTTGGGATGAGGTTGGGGGGATTGTAGAGAGGAAAAAGTGGCAAAGGACCAAGCGCGGAGGAGGAGGAGGAAGGGTAGGAGGAACGGAAGGAGGAAAGGGAGGAGGAAGAAAGGGAAGGGGAGGAGGAGAGGGGGAAGGGGAGTGGGGAGGTCCATGGGAGTGCGGGAGGAGGGGATCTTCCTGGGGGCAGTGGAGAGGGTGGTCTAGGGGCAAAGGGCAGCGGATTACAAGCTGTGGCCTGACCCGCAGCTCCATCCCTTTCCAGCTGTTAAACGGTTACACGGTCCCAAGAGGCCTGAGCCCCCACCCCAGAACGCCGGCGGAACAGCCGAGGAGCCGGAAAGGGGAGGGGTCGGCGTCCGTGTTGGGCCAGGGTCGCACAAGGGCGGGGCGAGGGGCTAGAAGGAAGGCAGGGAAGGGCTGCCTTCGGCCCAGGTCTAACCTGCTGGCTGCCCATATATATACCTTGGGAATAGGCGATCAGCCTGGCTGGGTATGAAAACGAATGACGCGGTTGATCTGGGGAAGTAGCAACCCTGAGGGAATCGTGGGAAGGTGTAATCCGTGTGCCTATTTAACCATTCACTGAGCGTCTAAGCTAGCGCCAGGTACCAAAAAGCTATGTCTTTGGGACCCTACCCGAACACCATCCATATATCCACCAACCCCACCTCACCGACCCCCTCAAGAAAACCCATAATAAGACAAAATCTTTGATCATAGCAAGCCCAAAATCGAGGGTGGGAAGTTCTGAATGATGAAAGAAAGAGAGCGAGGGAGAGAAAGAGAGGAAGGAAGGAAGGAAGGAAGGAAGGGAAGGAGGGAGGGAGGGAGGAAGGAAGGAGGGAAGGAAGGAAGGAAGGAAAGGGAAAGAGGGAGAAAAAAAAGAACGAAGAAAGAGAGAAAGGGAAAGAAAGAAATTCAGCATATGATAGAGTCCCATCTCTGTTTTGCAATCCAGATTTGTACATCCATCTGCTTAGTTACTGGCTCTACTTAGATATCTGATAAAGATCTCAAACTTAAAATCTTAAAATGTCCAAACCAGCCTCCTAACTACCACCCCTCTCCCAAGGGCAAAAGAAACCTGCTCTTTTCACTGCCTTCCCCAAAATGACGTCCATTTTTTCCGGTTACTTGGGTCAAAACCTTGGCGTCACCTTTGATTTTTCCCTCTCCCTCCCTCCCTTCCCACTTCACTCTACATCCCTTGTTGACTCCTTTAGCAAATTCTGTTGGCTATAGCTTCAAAATCTATCCAGAATCCAACTATTTCTCACCACCTTAAGTGCTACAACCTTAGCCTATGTCACTCTCTCTTCTCACCTGGATTATTCCAGAGCCTTCTTAATGGGACTCCCTCCTTCCACCCTTGCCCCTACTATCTGTTCTTTCCAGAGCAGCCAGTGACCCTTTTCAAATACAGGCAGCTCGTCACTCCTCTGCTCAAAACTCACTAATGCCTTATCATCTCATTCCCTCAGGTGAAAGCCAAAACCCCAGATGGTCTCCAAGTTGCTATGTGATCAGCTGCCTATTACCTTTGGGACCTTCTCTTTCTACTCTCTCATTATTCACTCCACTTGAGATGTGCTTGGATCACACCAAGCATGCTCCCACCCCAGAGCATATGTACATATGTACATCTCTACTGTGTACCAATTAGGACATGTACAAGTTTTCTGTGCTTGTGTAACAAATTACCATAAACTAAGCAGCTTAAAGACAAACACCCATTTAGTATGTCACAGTTCTGTAGATCGATGTCCAGCATGGCTTGGCTGGGTTCTCTGCTCAGGGTATCATAAACCTGAAATCAAGATGTTGTCTGGGTTGAGTTCTCATCTGGAGGCTCTGGGGAGAAATCCCCTTCCAAGCTCATTCTTGTTGACAGGATTCAGATCATTGCAGTTGTAGGACTAGGTCCTGGTTTCCTTCCTGGCCATCAGCTGGGGGCCATGCTGAGGTCCTAGAAGCTACCCACCTTCCTTGCCTTATGGCCCATTCATCTTCAGGCCAGCAACAGTGCCTCAACCCCTTCTCAAGCTTGGAATCTTTCTGCATCCAGCCAGAGAAATCTCCCTGCTTTTAAAAAGTGCATGTGGTTAGGTCAGACCCACCCAGATAATATCCCTTTCTTATAGTCAGGTATGCCATATAATATAAGCTGATCACATAAGTAAAATCTATCATACTCATAGTCCTAGGGATTATGTAGGATGTGCACACAGGGAGTGAGAAATTCAGGACCATCTTGAAATTCTGCCTACCACATATGTCGTAATAACAAAAGGATCCCAAAATACAGTGGTTTGAACCTGATAGAAGTTCTTTTTTCCTCTTACATAACTGTCCAAGTAGAAATGCTTGAGGGCTAATACAGCAGCCTCTTAGTTGTTCTGCCTTCTCCAAGGAAGTTCTGTATCTTCAATGTCCAGGCAGGCTAGGTCTGCTAGGTCCCATCCCAGTCAGTGGAGGAAAGACGGGGAGGCACAGCCTTACTCTTAAGGGCACAATCTGGCAATGCACACATTATTCTATCACACGTACACACCTAGTTGAAAGGAAAGCTGCAAAATCTAATCTTTATTTTCAGTGGCCATGTGGCCAGATAAAAGTAAGGGGTTCTATTAGTAAAGGAAGAAGGGAACAATGGATACTGAGGGACAACTAGAGGCTTATACCACAGCGAACACTCTTCTTCCAGATGTCCACAAGCCTTATTCCCTCATTTCAAGTCTCTGCTCAAAGAGACCTCATAAATGACTTCTCTGACTACCCAGCATAAAATAACAACACTGTTCCCACCTTCCTCATCCTTCCTACCCTGCATTATTTTTCTCCACAGCATTTAATGCCATCTCATATAAATCTTTATTTGCTTATTGTCTATTTCCCCTGACTAGAAACATAAGCTCCATGGTGGCAGAGATTCTGATTGCTCTCTGCTCTAACCCCATCCCCTAGTGCTGGCACCAAGAGTAGGTAATTAGAAAATATTTGTGGAACAAATGCATAAATGTATAGCAATCTTCATTGATGAGAAAGGGGATCACCTCTGGAGTCAGACTGTCTGGATTAAAAACCTGACTCCACCACTCACTAGTTGTAGGGTATTTTGCCTCAGTTTCTTTTTTCTTTCTTTCTTTTTTTCTTTCTTCTTTCTTTCTTTCTTTTCTTTTCCTTTCTTTCTTTCCTTCTTCTTTTCTTTCTTTCTTTCTTTCTTTCTTTCTTTCTTTCTTTCTTTCTTTCTTTCTTTCTTTCTTTTTGTAAAATGAAAGTAATAGTATCTACCTTGCAGGGTTGCTGTAAGGATTAAATGAGTTAATGCCTGTAAAATGCTTAGAATAGAGCCTGGTCAATAATAAACACTTGATATAATTGATATGTTTTTGCTGTTTGTGGCACCCTACCAAATGCTGTTTACATAAAGGTGAACAAGTGCTCAGTGAATAGTAGTGCTCAGTGAGGGCAGGAATAAGGGCAGCCCTTTCTGGAAAGGGCAAAGAGTCACAGCAGGTCTTGAAGTTTATGGCCTTAAAACAACGGTTCTCTACACAGACAAGGACAGAAGGGAATCTGTTCAGTAGCCTCTACTGAACCCTCAATACCACTTAAAAATTGAATTATATTTTTTGCGTCAGTCCACTCTTCCATTCTGTGCAAATACTATTTCAAACCTGTACTCTCTCATCTTCCATTTTTTTGTTTTACTCTCCAATGATAACTTCACTTCAACTCCTATTAAAAAAAATTAGAGGAAACAGAAACAAGAGGATACACACACAATATATAGATAGATAGGTAAGTAGGTAGATAGATTTATTTTAAAGAACTGGCTCACATGATTGTGGGGGCTAGCAAGTCCAAAATCTGTAGGATAGGTTGCTAGAAACTCAGGCAGGAATTAATGCTGCAGTCTTGAGGCAGAATTTCTTCTTTGAGAAATCTCACTTTCTGCTCTTATGGTCTCCAACTGATTGAATGAATCCCACCCTCATTATTAAGAGTAGTTTTGTTACTTAAAGTTAACTAATTGTAGATGTTAACCACATCTATCAAATACCTTCACCGCAACACCTAGATTAGTGTTTGATTAAATAACGGTACTATAACCTAGCCGAGTTGACACATAACACTAACCATCACACATGATATTTAAAAGAAACTCTCTCAATCTCTCAATACCAATAAAAAAAACTTAGATCTGCTTTATCCATTCCTCCATCCTTCCTGTTACCAATAAGAGATGTTCCTCCTCTCTCTAAAGCCAAGCTCTAGACCTTTGCTCTGGAACCCTCTCTCCTGCCTTCACTTACTCAACAAATATTTATTGAGCATCAACTGTGTTGGGTACTATTTTAGATGTTTGGTTATATCACTCTACAGAGCAATAACATTGACAAAATTCCTGATTTATGACTTAGAGAATGTAAATTCTAGTGGGAGTTACAAGTGATAAATGATAAAAATGAGCCCCTTTACCCATTTCACCAATGGGTGAAGGGGACCAAAAGGTAAATAAAAATAAAAATAAATAGAACCTAGGCAGAGTATAATTATGAATCACGGACTGGCCAACAAACACATAGGATATGATTTAAAAGTCTCAATTTCCATAGAAATATTAGTGATCTTAATCTTCAACCTCTTCAGTAGAATCACATTTAGAGAACTTAAATCACTAATCTTGGGAAAGAAAATAATATCTTGAATCTGAAGGAAGAGAATTACCTGCAAAATTACCTGTTTAGATTAGATGATAAAACAAGCCTATTCCAAAAGTCTACACTATTTACTGTTTATGGGTGATAACAGTCTAAAATAGTCTTGCAGGAAAGAAAAAAATACAGTAATGCGTGTAAAACACTGCAGGAGACAATGCCAATATAAATAATTTTGTATAATCATGGTAGTATATAGAACAAATTTTATTAGAATCTTGATCCAGAATTAAAAAAAAAAACCAAAATAAGTTAATTATATAGTATGTGAGAAATGACAGTGCTATGGAAAAAAACAGCAGAATAAAGAGGATCAGGAGTGTCTGAAGGGAGGATAGGTTGCAATTTTAAATAGCGTAATCAGAATAAGCCTTAATAAAAATGAGACATCTAAGCAAAGACATGAAGGAAAGGAGGGTAGCCCTCCCCCTGTCTTTTGCTTGGTAAATTCTATTTCATCCTTCAGATCTTAGGTTCCAAATCACTCCTCTGGGAAGCTCTCCTTCATCCCCCACACAGGTTAGTACTACTGTATGTTCCCATTACAACACATATTTCTTCCTTGTGACATTCACCACAGTTGTGAGTACTTGTTCTATATTCACCTTCACCATATCTGTGTTAAGTTCCAAGAGAACAAGGATTGCATCTCTTTCATTCACCTCTGCATCTGCAGGGCTTAACAGTGTTGGTAAATACACTCACTCGGGTATTTGTGAAGTACTGAATATATGGACTAAAGTGGGACATACCCAAAAAAGGAAAAACAGAGTCCAGAATTAGCATAATGTGTCTGAGCACCACAAATAAATTGATCCTTTTATACCAAGGGTATGAGAATCAAAAACTGAGGAAAGAGGGTTGAAGATGAGGCCAGAGAGATCTTCTGGGACCTGATCACAGAAAGCCTCAGTTGTAACGCTAGAGTCTGAAGGTGACGGAAGGTGTTAGGTAGATGAGTACCATTATTTTTGTATTTTGCAAGAATCGCTCTCGACCAGTATGGAAAATGGATTGGTAGGTGTCTCCTAATAGCCATTCTCCTCCTCTTCCTTAGTAACAGAACTCCCAATTTTTAACTGGGTAAAAAAATGACTGGTAAGAATAAAATGACATTTCCCAGCCTCCCTTGTAACAAGGCCTGACCACATGACAAATTTCTGATGTGCAACTTTTCAGATGTGTCTTAAAGGGAGGAGGATATGCCCCTTCACCCACTCCCTGCTCCATTCTTCCCCTTGGAATGTTTGTGTGCAAAGTAAAGCTCCATCCTGGGTCACATGATTGAGAGTCATACCTTTGATACAACAAGCAGAAAGCTTAGGAGTAGCTTGGTTCTCGGATGACTGATGTCACACCAGTCTTGGATTAGATTTTTACTTGAAAAAGTTTGTGAGCCACTGTCATTTTTAGTCTCTTGTTACATATACCTTAGCTAAATGCTAACTAATCAAAGGGGTCCAGGCTCAAGGAAGAAGCTGTTAGGTGACTGCTGCTGTAATCTATACAAGAGCTGAAGAAAGTTCGATCCAGGTTCCGAGAGCAGAAGAGATGCGCTGCCATCAGGCCATCAGGCCGCTAGTGCCACAGGCGAAAGTTTGATCAAGGTAGTGACAAAGGACATGGAGAGAAAAGAAAGCGTTCAAGAAATATTTAAGCAGAATTATAATGCTTAGGAACTGAGTGGAAAACTTAGAATGACTGATTTGCTCCAGATGGAAGCTTTCAGGTGTTGACTGATCTGTGAATATTAAGGGCAGAAGATACCAACCAGTGAGATTAGGCATGAAAAACACCTCTAAATCACTGGCAAAACATCAAAAGTTAAATGCAGACTCGTTTCTGTCTCTTCCGATATTCAGCCTTTCCCTTCCTACGTAAATAGTAGACTGAGCTGGGAGGAAACTGCGAACTGTTCGTTCAACAAATATTTACCAAGCACGTATTATGTGCCAGGGACTGTGATAAGGGTACAATGGTGAGCAATACAGCCATGGACTGTGATCTCACGGTGCATGTAATTACCAACTGTTAGAAGTGCTACATGCCACAAACATGAGGAATTATGGAGCTGGAGTCTGGGAAGAGTTATGTGAGGAAATAGCATTCACACTAAGTACTCAAGAATGAGTAGGTAAAGTGAGGGGAAAGCACTGCAAGCCAGGAAATGGTGCAAAGGCCCCGAGATGGAATGGTACCTGACAGGTTAGAAGAATGGAGACGGCAGTGTGGTGAGAGCACAGAGAGGCAGCAAGTGAGGTGCAGCTCAATTCAGTTCAACAAACAATACTGACAGTCCAGTGTTTGATAGTCCATAAGATAAAGCTGAGGTGGGCAGGGATGGGATCGTGCACGGTCTCAGAGGTCACATGTAGAATGCGTTCTTATCCTAAGAATGGGAAGCTATTGTGAGATTTTAAGCCTCAGTTTGTGTTTTCTGGCCTATGAATGGAGAAGAGATTGGAGGGATGCAGAAGTAGATATGAGGTAAAGTAGCAATTGCAGTAACACTGTTGGAAGAATGTAAAAATGGGGAGAAGCAGATAGAATCAAGGGATATTTAGAAACGTAAAACGTAAACAGATGGGATTTGGCAACTGAGTGAGGTTTCTATCTTCTGCAACTGGAGGAGTACTAGCTATAGGAGGAAAGCTGATGAGGAAAACATGCTGAGTTGGGGATATTTTTGAGACACTGAAGTGGGAATGTCAATCAAGTAGCTCAGAGGAGAGATCTAGGAGTAACTGAAGCTGAGTGCGGAGGACACAATCCTAGAAAAATGAGAAAGAAGAGGCCCTAAAGAAACCTTTAGATGTAAAGGCTGGAAGCAGGTGAGCCTCAAAGGAGGCTATAAAGCGTGGTGAAAGTAGTAGTAGAATCATGAGTGGGTCACAGACACCAATGAAAGACTGCCAATGGTGAGGAACTAGTCAATAGTTCCAGATGCTACTGAGAAGTGAAGTAAACTGAGGACTGGGAAATCAGGGATATGAGTCATTTGGTGGGCCAGGGTGACCTCATCAAGAACAATTTCAATAGAATAAATATTGTAGAAGTCAAAATAGACTGGGTGGAGGAATGGGAATAGAGAGAGCCACAGTATCCAAATGTTTTAAGAAGTTAAGCTGTGAAGTGGAAAACAATAGGATGATAGCTGGAGGGGAAATAAGGTAGTGGTTTGTTTTAACAGGAGAGTCTTTAGCATGTTTGAACAATGGTGACAATATAGTAAAATAGGAAAAAGTTAGAGATTCCCAAAGAAAGGACTAGGATTCAGAGCAGAAATAGGCACTGGCTTTGAGGCACGTTTGCCCTATTTAGATGGAGGGAAAGAATGATGCAGGTATAGGTGGGTGACCAAGTTGTGTTGTGAGATTTTGTGGGAACTCCTGATAGCTTCTACTTTTACCTATGAATTAAAAAATAAGGTTACTTGCAGAACACTGAAGAGAATAGTGAGGGTAATAAGAGGCTTAAGAATACTGATTTGAAGTAGTCATTGCAGGGAGCAGTGACTGGAAAAATCTAGTGGGATTATAGGGGTTGTGTCTCCATTTGATGCTGGTAACCATGAATTCATAGTGATATAAATCTGCTCTATAGTGATTTCCTTGGGCTTTTAGCTAGCTGTCCAAATGCAGAGACAAATGTCTCATTTTATCTGAGTCCAACAAAGAGATGACAAAGAAATTTAGTCTGTTCCAAGAGAATTAACTGGAATTTAAGCTGGACAAGAATCTAAAGACAGAAGGTGTTAATGGAAAGTAGAATCAATGGCTTGAATGCTCCAGTGAAATCAAAGAACAATAGTAAAGGAATATATCAATAAACAAAGTAAAAGGAATACAGTCAGTAAATAAGATGCTAGTAATAGTGTTTTAAAGATGGAGCAGTTTGGGGTAATGACAATGGCCAGGACATAACTAAGGGAGTGGGTGGCTAAGACAAGAGTGGAAATCATTGGAGACTGAGGCAAGGAACTAAGAAACCAAAATACTGAATGGACTGTCTGGTAACATTAAAGTATCAAGGGGTTGTTATAGGAAGACCAAGGGCTAGCTATTTTGAGGAAAGTAGGAGAGCTGTGGTTACTAAGGACAAGTAATGAGAGAGGGTGGTATAGTTGAATAGGCTCAAAGGAATCAGACTTTACAAAGTAGGCCGTTAAGTTCTGAAGCCACAATGGCAATACCAACTCTGTCTCCAATATGTATTTGTGTTAAGAGAGCTCTGTTAACTATATTCTTGTGTTGTGCTTAAAACATCACACTGCTCTCATTACACCAATGATACCACTTTATGGCAAGACCTGAGGGAGATGTCAGTGATTATAAAAGATGGATAACAGGAGTAGGGTTTTTCTCCTAAGTACTGAACATGTTTATAAACAGAGAGAAAAGAAGACGTTAAAAACTTAAGGGATTAACTAATGGATTACACTGAAGGATACTTGTTTTTCCAAGCCTAGGGACAGGCTGGGTGCAGATGAGCAAGCAAAGATAAACTCTAGAAATTCAAAGAACATAGCCTCTAGAGTCAAGACAGTTCTTGTTCTTAGCCCTTCTCCAGCAAGTAGTAATTATGTGACATGGAAACACAGACAATTCACAATGGAAATTTACTGCAAGGATACACACAAATGTCCATGTGGAAGAGTCCTTCCACCAGCACCACAGTATTCCAGGTCCCCATTACCATCTTAGATTGGTTAAGTTCACAAGCTGTTTTAGCTGTAGTTATGCTTTCCAAGGAGAGAACTTTATTGGGTAGACACAAAGCTACTCAGTAGGGAAGTTTCTGGTCAGCAACTTATATGTTCCTAGCAAAACCTTCTGTTCAAGATTTAGGAGCTAAAGAGGCAAAAAGCTGTTTGGAGCCACTTTTCTCAAGAGGTTAACTATGTATAAGACAGGGTTCTGGTACATTCTGGATTCTTGCTTCCTCATCCATTAAGTGGAGATAATATCTCTTACTTGTAGTTTTGCTATAAAGATTAAAGCAGGACATTTATCAGTATCAGGACCCATACAAATTGGGTGGCTCAATGGATATTTTGAGAGGCAGCCTGGTGTAGTAAAAAGTACATGGATTTTAAAGTCAGATCTGTATCTGTAAGGGTCTGCTACTAGACAATTTCAACTTCCTGATCCACACAGGGGGGAAAAATGTCTGCTCTGTGGGTGGTTGTAAAGAGTTTTTTTTATTATTGTGGGAGCCAATGTTTAAGAGCTTCCATTTCCTCTGTAAAAAATGAAACATGGTCACCTGATGGGGAATAGTTGGACGTGAAGTGGGGGATAAGGAGAACAGTGAAGGTGTAAAATAATTGCCATGGTGATTAGGAGATGAAATACACCAGGAAGCCACAAAGGGTTGCTTGTTGGTAGTGAGGGTTTGGTTGAAATTGGAGACCTTGAATATTTAGTGCCGTTCATTACACAGCTGTGTTTTTCTCTAGCAGTCTGAATGGAGGAACAGAAGAGATAAAAACAGCTGGAATGATACAAAAAGGACATTAAGGGAGGCAAGAAAATGCGGTGATGGAGCAACAGGCCATTCAGACTGCTGAATACAGAAGTAAATTTCACAAGGAGGGGAATAATGAGAGAAAAATGGGGAGACTCAATATGGAAATAACAAGGACAGCGGGAACAATGTAGGGTAGAGGATGGAAGAGCTGAAATTATAGACATGCAGGTAACGATAAAGCGGTCCCAAGGATTTGCTTTATCCCTTTTTCCCCATAACCACCATCGTCTACTTCTCCCTTGGGCTTCTGTCCCTCAGGTCTGGCTATATTGCAGAATATGGTCCCCCAAGTTTCCCCTTTCTGACTGCTCCTGAAGAAAAGCACACAGACCTTGGTGTAAAGGCTTTACCACTCATCCTGGGGTAGAGAGAAAATAGTAAGAAAGTAACAACTTGGGAAATGGTTGAAGTTCCAGAACACCCCAAAATTCTTAGAGGTTTCATCTCTGTTCTGGGGCTACTGACTTCCCAGGAGGCACTGCCTAAATACCTTGTCCGTTCTTTCTTTTTTTTTTTTTCTTCTGTCTGTGATTTCTTTATCTGTTATCCTTGGTTATCTCCTTTACCTACATCTAGCAGAATTCCTTAGAGTCCACAAAAAGAGTTATGAATGGAAAAAAAAAAAAAAAGAGTTATGAATCAATGTACACCTGGCTCACAAATGAGCCATTTAAGTCAGACAGATTTAAGTGAAGGACAGCTAGAAAGAGGTCTCATTTTTCTCTGCCATCTGGGCAGGAATCAACTTCCTGTTGATGTTACTAACATTAAAACTGTACCCACAGACCTTGCTTTAACCAGGTGCCTGGGAATGTTAAGGTTTTCCTTCTACACAGAGAAGGCAATTTCTCCACTGCCAGGGCTGAAGCCAACAGATATGCACTAACTGACAGAATAAAGGATGGTGCCAATACAATGGGCAAAGCTTCCCCGCCCAGAACATAAACCAAAGAGAGTAAAAGCGGGTTTATTGGCTCCAGGAAAAGGAGCAATAGTACCCAGCTCTCAGGAAACCCCTCGCTCTATATACAGGCTGCATCCAGCCCAAGGTCCACTGGCTCCTTCAATTTGAGGGTCCATCCAGTGCCTCCCTTCCTGGGGCTGGGGAGGGCTAGCTGCCTGATGGTGAGGTTCCGGACTGTTCAGCAGCAACACCAGGCCCAGCTGAGGCAGCCTCGTAGTCTGCGATGCGGCGTTGTACCAGAGCAGGCATGAGCTGCACATAAGCGGCCATGAGGCGGTGGTTGGAATGGATCAGCTTCCCAGCACAGCTGTGCAAACAGGCTTCCTGGAAGGAAGACAGGGTGAAGTAGAGGCCAAAGGTGTCCTGTCGGGTCCGTCTCCTTCCTTCCCATCCCTAGCCTAGGGGCGAGGGTCGTGGAAAGGCCAGGGCCAGAGGCAGGGGAAGTCGGGGTGGGGAACAGTCTACGGCGAACCTCCCTACAGAGTTCCCCACCTAACCTCCTCAGCATCCAGAGCTCGGTGGTGCAGGCTGGGCACGCAGCGCTGGAAGCAGAGTTCCGTCATCCGATTGTAGACCAAAAGGAAGTCCCGCAACTAGGAGAAAAGGGGACAAAGAACTCAGCGATACAGGGGCACCTCGAGGCCGCGTCGCTTGAGGTTTCCCAGGACCGCACGCCACAACCCGACGTTCCCAGCCCTCGGATATCCAGCCAAATGGACAAGGGTGCTAGCTGAACTTATGGCCCTGCAGCGACTTAGCACTCACGTTTCTCAGCTGCTGCTGCTGCTGCTGCTGCTGCTGCTGGGGCTCCATCGTGCCACCGCGCACAGTACGTCACTTCCCTACAGCGTCTTGGAAACGCCCCGGAAGTGCTCTCTCCTGGCTCCCCAGGGACTGAGGGGTTGGCTCAAGGATCGCCCGGCCCCCGGCAAACGTCATTTCCGCCCTTAGAATCTGCGACGTGGCCGGCTTCTTCTGCCCGGGAGGGGACGTAACTTCCGCCGAGTCCCTGACCTGCTGCTAGGATCGCGACGGGAACTGGAGCCCGAGGTCCCCGCGCGGCCCGGGCCTGGCGCCCTGAGGGGAAGAGCGGCCCGGCCCGAGGTGAGAAGGACATACTTGGGCGAGGGGAAGTTGAACGCACGAAACTGCCCTGAGGGAAAGATGCCACTGAGCCCTGGGGAAAGGATGAGGACACACCTGATGCCCAGGTGTATGGGGGGGGCGGGGACTGACACACCTGGGGGACATAACTGACTTTGGAAGGGATCACTATGTTCTGGGAAAAAGAGGCTTTTCCCAGAGGCCGAGAACATACACCAACTGATTCAACTAAGGCCTGGGGGGGAGGGCCCGAGGAAGGGGAGGTGCATGGGATGGAGGAGGGGGAGACCACCTGAAGGAAAGGGGAAGAAACACTAAGGGAGTGTGAAAGGTCAAGCAATGGAGAGCATACCTGAATGGGAGGAGTAGGCTCCTGAGCCTTGGAAAGGGGTTAATCTGATGGGGGGAAACAGCTGCATGGGGATAAGTTCCAAGACAGCACAGACCTTATCTCTCTTGGTCACTGCTGTGACCTCAAATAATGCATGACACATAGTAGGCACTTATTCAATGTCTGTTGAATGATTGAATGCATGAATGATCACCTGAATCCTGGTGGGGTTGGGGGTTCATGAGAAGACATCTGGGGCCTGGGTGTGCATGTGGAAAGATACGCACCTTGGAGGGGAGAAATACATATCCATGAGAAGAGGAGTGGTGTCCCAACCCCAGAATACTCAAGTCTTGGGACAACCCCCAAAATCTCTGAAATGGTGGGGGAGACCTTTCTTTCTGGAGTACTGGCCAGTTTCCAGAACTGTCTGTGTTGGGCTTTGCAGGGCGCTGGGGTGGAGACTTTGACTCCAGTCCCTTCCCTAGCCATGACGGACGGGATCCTAGGGAAGGCAGCCACAATGGAGATCCCCATCCATGGGAACGGTGAAGCTGGGCAGCTTCCTGAGGATGATGGGCTGGAGCAGGTGCTTCTGTTTGATTCTTCTCCATATTGTTTCAATTTAGGAATCCTAAATCAAAAGCCCTGGGCTCTCACCCCATTCCATTAGTTTTCCCCTAACTTGTTTAACTCCCTCCAATCTTTTTACAAATCTTCATTCTGATTCTATGCAGACTTCCCTTGTGTGCTCTCTCTGTGATGCTTCAATCCAAGCTTGTTCTCACCCCCCAAATGCTTCAGCTGCCCCAATGTTCCTGAAGCCCCCCTCTTCTCTGGCCTATAGGACCTCCAGCAGGTGATGGTATCAGGACCCAACCTCAATGAAACCAGCATTGTGTCTGGTGGCTATGGGGGCTCTGGTGATGGACTCATCCCCACAGGTATGAATGATCAGAACAGGACAGGAAGTTTGAGTGGAGAGAGGGAGGGGAATGGTTCTGGGGAGTATAGGATATGTCTAAGATAGCTTGAATTATGTCTGGAGATCTTGGGAACTTCTGCTAGTATGAGCAGGGTTGTCCAACTGCTCCCACTTGCCATTTAGCCCCTGAGATGTGACCATTTGTCCTTTCTCTGCTGCTACCACTCGAATCACATTAAGAACTCTGTTTCAAAGAAGTTCTCCCTGCTTCGGAGCTTGAGACTGATTTGGATCTCTGAAGCTTCTCAGAGTTTTGCTTTAGACTCTAAAGTTTAGAGAAGCAAATACCCTTGAATCTCACACTGACTAGGATTCCACATGAGAATGTCAGTGAGGTTTCCTGTTATCAGCACCCACTGTCCTTGACCTGCCATTCCATTCTCAGCATATTTTCTTCCATTTTCTCTGCCCCTGTACACCAGCAACTCCCTCCCCCCACTCCAGCCCCCATCACCACCTCAGAAGGAGGCCAGATATATATTGGGATTTGGGTCTCAGGGCACAAAGTATGAGTTCTTCCTAGTGAGTAGGAGAATCTCATTGTCTCTAGTTTCTGCTACTTCAGGGAAGTCATTTTCATATGCTGGGTGGGAGGTATGGGTGGAGCTACAAAGATGTCTGGTCCTATCTGAGAGAGGCTGGTGTCAGAGAACTTGGTTCTTTAGGGTCTGGCCGCCATCCATCTCACAGTACCACTCCTGCTGGACCTGGAGATGAGGTGGCTCGGGGCATCGCTGGAGAGAAGTTTGACATTGTCAAGAAATGGGGCATCAACACATATAAGGTGGGATTTAAGCACTTTTCCCTTCCCCCAAACTTCCCCTGGGTACCTTTTCCCCATCTTCCAGATGCCACTATCCCATCTATGGCTGAGACTAGGAGTGTGGGGATGATAGGGTCAATACCTGTTTGGGGGGCAGAGTGCTAGGGTCTCTGACCTATTCCCCCACTTCCCAATCAGTGCACAAAGCAGCTGTTATCAGAGCGATTTGGCCGAGGCTCCCGGACTGTGGACCTGGAGCTAGAGCTGCAGATTGAGTTGCTGCGTGAGACGAAGCGCAAGTATGAGAGTGTCCTGCAGCTGGGCCGGGCACTGACAGCCCACCTCTACAGCCTGCTGCAGACCCAGCATGCACTAGGTGACGCCTTTGCTGACCTCAGCCAGAAGTCCCCAGAGCTTCAGGTGCCTTGGTCAGGCCAAAGAGGGTGGGGGGACTGGGCCCGGGCCCTCCCAGGCAGTCAGCCCTCAGCCTCCCTCCCTCCCTCCTGCAGCCCAGAGGGAGAACCCCTCCAGGGTAGGCCCAGCCCTACCCCCAGCAGCACTCACCCGTGGAGGCAGCCTAAGGGTTTGTACAGAGGTTCAGAAGTTGGAGGGGTGGGGGAGGCGGCACACTAGATGCCTCACAAGTAACCCTTCTCTGCATCAGTGCTCAGCCTAATCAGAGCCCCTCCCTTGCCTGCTGCACTAGCTTTCCCTGTTCTAGTCCTGTGAACTTATCTGAGAACCCCACTCCCACATTCCTACCCCAGCCATCTCTGGGGTGGCCCCACTAACTTTCTGGCTAAGAGAGCCTTTGCCAGTTTCCATGGCTGTTTCCTCCCTGGGGAGGAGGGGAATGAGGGCCCTATAGCTTTAGTCAGGTAGGAACTGTTGCTCAAGGCCTGTCCTCCCTTCCGCCCTCAGGAGGAATTTGGCTACAATGCAGAAACACAGAAGCTGCTGTGCAAGAATGGAGAGACACTGCTAGGGGCTGTGAACTTCTTTGTCTCTAGCATCAACACATTGGTCACCAAGACCATGGAAGACACACTCATGACTGTCAAACAGTATGAGGCTGCCAGGTGTGGGCACCAGCAGGGCCTAGAGTTCTGGGAGTTGGCTGGCATGGGTGGAAGTTTGAGCTTTGGGGTCATAAGAACTGAGGAAGGAAAGGAGAGTATGTGTGGAGGACACTGGGGTGGAGACCAGCCTGTATCACCCCTTCCCCAGGCTGGAATATGATGCCTACCGAACAGACTTAGAGGAGCTGAGCCTAGGCCCCCGGGATGCAGGGACGCGTGGTCGACTCGAGAGTGCCCAGGCAACTTTCCAGGCCCATCGGGACAAATATGAGAAGCTGCGGGGAGATGTGGCCATCAAGCTCAAGTTCCTGGAAGAAAACAAGGTGCCAACCCCACCCCTTTAATCCCAGCCCACCTTCCCATCTGTAACACTGACCTTCTATCCCTGACACCCTCCCCAGTACTGGATGGGGGAAATGCAGCCTGGCTAAGGGGTGGGATCTTCCCCCAGCCCCTTCACCCCCTGGACCTTCCTAGTCACCCACCCTCCAATCCCTGGCCCTTTTCTATTGGAGGATTTGGCTGCTGATCCCAGGAACATAACTGGGAAAAATCATCCCCTGAGCTGGGGTACCAGAACCCCAAGCCCAGCAAATCAAGTCAGGTTTCTCCCATCAGACTGACCCTTATCCTTTGACTCCCTTAGTGGAGGTCAGCCCCCACCCTAAAAGCACCATCAGAGCAGAATCCATGTACCCCTGGTCTGGGCTCAGGCTCAAGAAGGGCATCTGAGTCCAGTCTCAGCTGACCCTGCTGGACCCCCAGATCAAGGTGATGCATAAGCAGCTGCTGCTCTTCCACAATGCCGTGTCCGCCTACTTTGCTGGGAACCAGAAACAGCTGGAGCAGACCCTGCAGCAGTTCAACATCAAGCTGCGGCCTCCAGGAGCTGAGAAGCCCTCCTGGCTAGAGGAGCAGTGAGCTGCTCCTAACCAAACCTGGCTATCAAGAAGGACATTGGGAGAGGCAGTCCCAGGGTGGGGGAGATTGGACATGGGACATCCCTTGCCACCTGCCCTCTGGCTTGGGTTCCCTTTCCCTGGCTGGGGCCTGACACCAGTTTTGCCCACGCTGCTGTGGGTAGGGTGGGGGCTTGCAGGCCCAGCAGCTGCTGCCCTGTCCTTTATCTTCCTGGCCACTGGGCTTCATTCCCAGATCTTTTCCTTCCACTCCACAGCCAAAGGCTATGACAGAACCACTCCCTGGCCAATGGCATTACTCCTCAGGCCTGTCCCCAGATCCTGGGGTGTGCCCCCTGACCAATGGCAGAGCCTCAAAAGGCCCTGTCAGCCAATGGCAGCTCTTCTTGGGCTCCCCTGGGCCATGATGTTGCCTCCAGTACCCTTTGTCCCTCCTCTATGCGTCCCCCATTGCAGAGAAGGGGACTGGGACCAAAGGGGTGGGGATAATGGGGAGCCCCATTTCTGGTCCTGCATCTGAATGGGCTTCCCCTCACCTACCCACCCAGTTTAATTGTGCTTAGAGCCCTGGAAGATTGGGACCTAGCACTAGGAATAAACCTTTCATAAAAGCAGGCCCAGTGAGGTCAATTTGTGGGGGGACTCTAGGAGGGCGGGCTGGGTGGAGAAATGCTCA